TATTATATCAAAAACAAGAAATGTAAGAAGTTTGTCATTGTATTTTCATTACATCAAAACTCCGTAATTCATTTAAATCATTAAAAGGTTTTAAAAGTTACAAAAAACAAAACAATACAAATATTTATTTCCGCCACCACCCCCCCACTCATCTTCCTTCCTGCCCGGGCAAAGAAGAACATATATTTGTAACTAACATTCGTCTGCAGTATTTTCAAAATAGCCTTTCCAAACTCCAATTGTTAAAATGAAAATATTTATAATATTTACTGAAAGTGGCTCTGAAGTACTTAGTTTACTAATAGTATCTCTTCTTCAAGCTGATGCACAAAGTCCATATGCAATGGAGAACAACAGATAGGTGCTCCAAAGAGAATTACGTATTTTATGCAGGCTCACGGGGTCAGATATTACAATCATTACCATGACGTTTTCCACATTCAAATTAATTTCTGTACTCCATCCCCTGATGCTTAAGTGATAGCCTACAGAACATGTGCTCTGTGCTCTGGGGCAGGTCTCAAATGCTTCCCTTTTATCGAGGGACCCATTGGGGGAGCTTTGGAAGACGTGGATGCATTTAGCAGTAAAATACGCGCTTGAATATCATTGTGATTTGCTGTATAAAATTTTATGAGAAACATTTCTCGATCTTTTTTGATCTTTTCCTATTACTGTTACATTTATGAGAGGCAGGTGAGCAGCTAATTGATATAAATGGGCATTGGGCAAATTCAATTTACTTTCTATTTCCTGTAAGGTTTTATTTCATTATGACTCAGGTTTCCAATTTATTTCTGTAGCCTTGCTTTTCTATACATTCTCCATTTCTCCAATCACAGAAAAGCATTTTTAATATAGTTAAGCTGATTCCTTATTTCCATACAATTAAAGAACATCCTGGTCATCGTTTTCTCTATTGCTCTATATAACTCTATCCTATTTTATATTTTTAGACATTCAATATATTTTTCATGTTAAATTTTATAATTAGGTTCATAAGTATTATCCAGCAATAAAAATGTGTTTTACTTCATTCGTATGATGATTTATGTAAGTACTAATAAAGAACCTGAAATATACTGAATGCCCAATAAATATTATGTTGTTATTTACTGTAGCCAAGGAGTTATAAATGCTCTTTGGGAAACTTAAAAAATGCCACTCAATAAAAACAAAAAAAATTACATATAACAACTCTTAAGTAAACATTCAAGTACATTCTTGTACAACATTCCATCTTATTTCTTTATTAGACCTAAAATAACATATTTGCTTCATATGTTTACTAATAAGCTAGAGTACAGCTTTGTAAAGTGTAGTGACCTTTCAGTCCTTGCTGAATTCCCAGATAGAGATTTTTAAAATATAGACTTGAAAGTACAACAAGAGAGGACAAAACTCTCCAGACTTTCAGTGCTTCGTAATTTCATGCCATGACATGAAATTAGATAGAAAAAGACATACTGTATCTCTAGAAGACAAAGTAAAATATTATAACGACATGTGCAAAGACCTAGAGTAAGAAAATCCAAATACGCAGAGTATATTTTTACTGAAAGAACGAAGGAAAAAAATCAAGCTTCAAATTACAATTTTGAGAGATTTCAATGGGCCAAATATTGCGCAA